CCCCTCTTTTTTTTTTTTTTTTTTTTAATCCTCTCACAAAACGACAAATGGATGTTTTCGTAGTTTTACAATGTCATTAAATGCGATGGGTCCTGTGTTCAAAATGACTAAAATACCCCTCCACATCAGCCTTGCATTTTTTTCCCGTCCGTACACTCTCTCCCACGCATATGCTACGAGTGAGATTTATATTATAATAACCTCGATCACAAATTTGACCATTTTTTTTGAGATATTTTCCATAATTAAAGGCTATAGATACAATATATATATATATATTAAGTATGTGACATTGGTTATCCAATTTTATGATCCGTCTAGTCTACTTAGTTACTGGTTTTTATAATAACAACGACATAAATAACTCGTTGGCATAAATATCACACCTTCATTATTATGTCTTATACCCGTATAAACGTTATATCAGATATTTGAATAGAATATTATTAGAGATATACTACATTATTCTAGAGTTAATGGTTACGGAGACAAAAATAATCTAATATAAATCAGTAAATCTAAATCAAATATGAAATGAAATAATATATGTTTTTGGGTTTTTGCATTTTGGATTCCATAGAACAGAACCAAGAGACAAATCGGGGATTAGGGGGTTCATGCATTGGCACTAAACACGCCCCTTTCCGCAATTATTCAGCATAATCACTCTCGATAAATAATTTTCAAAAATTGGCTTAGTTTGTTTGATATGTAAAGGAATTATCATATATATATATATATAACACACACACACACATATGTATCTGTTTTGGATTTAATATAATCATATATATAATATTGTAGAGATAGATTCCTGAACTCAACCGGTTCGATGACGATGATGTCATGACAATTGGTTTTCTAATTTTTATTGATTAAATTCTTCCACAAAGTAGATTTTGTCATTATCTCTAATCACCTCAACACTGTCAACCTCTGCTCCTGCTTCAGCCCTCACCACTGTCCCACTTGCGTCATACCCAAATTTCTCTCCTGCGTTTACACCCATACAAAAAGAGGAGAAAAAAAAAACTCACCTATACCAAGTCCTAAACCGGAGCTAAAACCAGAATCTAAACCAATTCAAAAACCGGTTTTGGCTAAAAATGAAGAGAATGTGGGTTTGGTACCTGCAATTTCCTTGAGCTTGTCGAGCGAAGTGGGCAACAGAATAAGCTTACCAGCTTCTCTTAACCTTTTCCCTCTCCTCTCCAATGGATCTCCTCTGTAAATGCTCACCCTCACACGGTTTTTGCTATCTTCCCCTCCTCCGACCATTAACCTCCTCCTGTTCGGTACGTTCACGAGCAGATTGACAATGTCGATGTGATTCTCCGCCAATGCGACCTGTAACGGAGTTAAGCCATTCTGGTCCTTTGAGTAGATGTCGAGTCCAAGTTGCAGAAGATCCTTCATTACATGTACGTTGTTCTGTCTGGAAGCTGTGCATAGAAGGTCCCCTGCCGTGTGAGGGTCGGATATGGCCGCGAAACGATAAAGGATTCTGAAGGTGGCGTGGTTTCCCGATGTTATTGCCTCCCACAGAGCCGTGTTGCCCTTCACATCTGCAAAATTTCGCATCATGTATGTAAAGCATATATATATATATATAACATGCTCCGCATGAATCTCAGTGGTAATAAAGAAGCAACTATTAAGAGACAGACTAAAAGATGCGAGTTACTGATTCAAATTGTTTCTCTTTTTCAGGTTTTTGTCTTTCTGTATGTGATTGATATGAATCAAGTATCATGTATATGTCTTTATAATCTAATCTGTTGTGATATATACATATATATATAACGCTGCTGGATACCTCTTACATGGATGTTGCATCCGTGCTTTAGGAGTACTAAAACACACTCTTCATATCCTTTGGAAGCTGCTACATGCTAAAAAACACATGCAAACAAAAAAAGAATCATGATCGCTTCGAAACAAAGAAGCAAATGCCCGTGATGATGATTATATCATAATAGTCTTTGAATAGAAGCAAATGCCCGTGATGATGATTATATCATAATAGTCTTTGAATAGATTTCGGTGAAACAAGACTCTTTACCAATGGAGTTCTTCCGTTGGAGTCTCCAATGTCAGGGTCCAGCTTAGCATTGAGAAGCTCATCAAGAAGAGCTGCATTGCCTGTACTTGCCACTGTGAGCAGATTAGATGCCATGTAACGGTCACTCTCATCTTCTCCACCTTCGACCAGTCGATCTCCGATGTTTAAATCGTTTAGCTTTTTGTGATGCTTGAAGAGAGATGGAACGGGTTACTTGTTTTGTCAAAAAATACAAACATGGAAGAACGTAAAAAAGAAAGTGTCAAAGTTAACGCAAGTGAACAAACCTGCAGGAAGTTCTTGAGCATCGTGACATTGTCATGTTGCTTTGTCTGAATTGTTCCGATAAGGGAAGTTGTTTTGAGTCTGAGGAGTTGTGAAAGTGACTGTCAGAAAATTGAAGCTGTGAGGTCTGCAACACAATGCTCCAACTTCTCCAAATATGTCTCCAGATCTTAGAGTGCCTAAGACACGCTCCCCCTCCGTCTCAGAGTCCACAATTTCCACTTCTCCTGAAATGATTATGTACACATCCTCGGGCTATTCATTCTGCATTATAACATCCTCTCTTGGTGGTATGTACTCAGCTTTCATCCTCGAGACCTATCAAAATATACGCATTGAGAATGTGAGGAGATAAATCTGTCCAACGCAGAAGAACTGTGACCAAGATATTCCTTCATATTCATCTTTTTCCCAAGTCCTGTCTATCCTGTCTGATTCTTATGCGTTTTGTATCTGCCACATTTGTAAACAAAATTCAGTATCCTTTAATATCGCAAGTTCTGTTCACGATTGCAACAAAAAGCTGAATGCATAACTGGTGTGACGTATCAAAAAGGCCCTTCAAAGTTATCAGATTGTAATAGATTAAGCGGTTTGGTTTTGGTCCGGTTCAAAGTATCAGTGGAAGAATCCCTGCTATACACACCATTTTCACCCCCATATTACCAAACCAAATAGATTGAGAAAGATGGTGCGAGCAGAATAACGCACCAGGAGAAGCAGTATTTCCCTTGAGACGCCCTCGAAGAGATAAACCTTTTCCACCGATGGAAGAAAAAGGTGTTGGCATATGCTTTTGTAGATTGATTTGGGTAACTGCTCGATCAGGTGCTGCTGGTTCAAACTTTCTGCTTTGAACCTCAAACACATGTAAGCCAATATCTGTTCTTTCAGTCTAACCGGTAAACGGTTTCTACAGACAAAGTTTGATGCAGCTTGAATGCTGTTCCTCTGCACCACACAACATCCAGATCTGTAAGAAAGGAAGACAACACACCAAACCCGGCGAAAAAAAAAACTTCGGAATCTTCTTGTAAGGAAAAAAAAAGTGAAACATGACTCACGAATTCCATGGTACGCCGAGTTCCTTCCACAACCAAGTTAGTCATGTTACCAATAAGGTAAGCAGTGAGGCCGAGATTGAAGAGCATGCAGAATATAATGAATATCATCTCCATGGTGTTGACTGCATGAAGATCGCCATATCCCACTGTGGTCATTGTGGTGATAGACCAGTAAATGGCTGAGATGTATCTGACAGAAAGACTCGTCTTTCTGAAATTTGGGATCACTGCACCTATCCATGTCTTCCCTTGGTGCGGATATCTGTCTGCCAGTAGGTAATAGAGGCAACCGGCACAGTGCACCAGAAACAGCGTCACCTGAAAATGTCGGTATCGTCATTTTTAAGCCTAGATATTATCCTTCTGAGCAACTTTCTGGACGAGCATTGCCTGTGTTAAAGAGTTCGGAAACCGAATTCTTTTGATCTCGAACTCATGGTCACATTAAACCGTTCAAGAACGCAATTGTTTCGAGTAATAAGCAGTTCTTGTTACTCACACATAGAAGCCGAAGGCAGCGGACCCAGAAATAGCTGTACCTTATGTCCTTCTCAAGCCTGAAAAGGCCATGAAAATAAAAACCATTGATGATCGTTCACTTAAACATCTGATCAGCAACAAGACCCGGATCGAACCAAGAATAGTGTACCTTGTGAAGAGGTGCTTAACACGTCGGATACGCCAAAATCTGAGCAATCCCAGAAGAGAGCAAGATATGCTCACCTTCGATTTGCCAGTGACCAAGTATCCGATTGCCTCGTACGGTAGAGTAGACGCCATGTCCATCAAGAACCACGTCGAAAGGTACCTTTCAATGAACATTAAAGATACTTTTTCAAGTCTTGTTTTCAGAAGATATTAAATTCGGAATCTTTCTTGTTGTTTCAAGAACTGGTAATTGATCTTTTGTTGATAATAGCTATTCTAGTCATACAGTCAATTGCCTCCCTGAAGCAGAAACAACCATTCCACTAAATAAACATATTACCATATCACCTAATTTTTGTCCCATTTCATTTAAAATCAGAACTCTGTGGAAGAAGATCAACCTACCACGAGGAGAGATATGATTCAATGATGGACAAAAAATTAAATAATGAGCAATAACACTGACCTTGTTGCAATCTTTCTGGGTTCACGAACAAGAAGCTGCGTTCTTTGGTCTATGTACGCAACAAAAAATGTCAAGACAATGTCGATGGCAAAGAACAAATCCACGACGTTGTCTGCGATATAAAGGTCTCTGTTTGGTGAAGAATGTAGAAAGGCGACTTCAAATGGGTAAACCCATGCAGAGTATGCTACCAAAAGCACCATAAATGATTCCCAGCACCTGCGTCATGCAAACACGTACAAACGCTTGTTATTTTACATTAGCTTGAATTTGACGAGCTATTGTTAGTCATCCGCAGATAAAAAGTTCCTTTTTCCCTGTTTCTGGTAAATGTAGTCTGAGAACTTCGACATACACAGTATCCATTCTTGTCAGTTTCATGTGTATGATGACTAGATCACCATTTAGGAGTTTGAAACTGATTGGTTTCTCTAATCACCCAAACCAAGAACATTCATAAACACAAGAGATGGGAATGCGTTTTCCAAAGTCTAGCTGCTATTTTAGTTATCAAGCATATGAACAATAAAGAACAGATACCGCTAGATATTAGCATGGGAATGGCTTGAAGGTCATATGTGGTAGATTGAAAGAAGGCAAAAGCATAAAAATGAGACATGTTTGGTTAGTAGAATAAAATATCTTTTATATATGTGTCAAAAATGAAATTATATATGTTGCACAACACATGTGAAGAAAATATGTACGGTCTACCTGTATCTTGAGTCCATTGGTGAGATGATCCATCCACTCGAACTGATGTGATTCTGGTTGTAGCTTGCAACACCCAGAGGAGGAAGAATAAGCTTTGACAAGCTGCTCAAGCTGAGGGAAGAAGAACCATCTTCTTCTTTCTCTTTCTCTGGGTGCTGATGAGGACGCTGGTGCTTCATGTCTGAGAATAAGTGGGAGTGAAATGCTGTGAATTTAAGCTCCATTATATGTTGTCTGAACAACAAACTATATATGACCTAATGAACGGAGAGATACAGAGAGAGAGAGAAAGAGACAAATTGTGCAGGTGGCATTATTATGGTGATGTTGAAGGAGTTCGTACTTATAGGATGCAAGCCATACATGGTGGTGGTGGTCCTCCTTGGTCAAGAAGTGAAATGTTCATTAGCTTGGTGGGGAGCACCTTTAATTTTAGGCAGATATTGGGAATTGTCACATTAAATAAGGTAACTGATTGATTTCAGCTTTGGTGACTGGTGAGTAAGGAAAAGGTGTGAACACTGAATAATGGGCCCAAGAAGGGGATTATGCAACTCAGTCAGAGAATAATGCAAAGCGTGCATTTGAGCCTTGAAGAGTCCTACCATAGTATCTATCAAGAGAGATCTTCTTGGGTTGAACTATTTTTTTTGGGTAATCGAGTGTTCTGGACCAAGGGCCAAACTAATCTCGGAGTCGGGGTCAACTATGTGTTTGGTATAAGAAGCAGAAGAAATGTGACAAGGGATTAGATTCCGATATAACCGGGAACATTTTCTCTATAAGTTTACTACATATTCTAAAATGGCATTCGAGGCCAAAAATAATCATCAGAGAAGCAAGGGGAGACAGTGTTACCAACCTGCATTTCCTCTGGTATGGGACAAAACCCATGTGAATCCCAATATGAATCAAATCGTCTTCTTTCATCCTTCTCCATGATGTTTTCCGAGTGTATGTGAAATGTCCTGCCAAAATCCTATCAGAAATGTTAAGACATGAACATAGTAAAGCACAATTACGAGTTATCTACCATTCTACCCACAAGGAGCAACGTCGACCTTGAAATGTATCGGGGATCAAGAATTCGACGTAAATTGGTATTCTAATGATATATGTTGAAGAGAAAGCATCATCAAGGGCAACTCTCTAGTTACCTTCACAACTTTTAAACTCTGAGCGATCACCTAAGCAATTGCAGCAGCTTTAGGTTACTTCTAATATAGTTACAGACACACGAGATCGAGAAATTCCCAAACCGAACCCTAGATAGATCAGAAGAAGAAGAAGAAAAAACCCAGAAAATCTAACACATACCCAGAATTCGAATATGCGAATTCCGGCGATCCCATGATGGTAAAGATGGTTTGAGAATTCACAGGAAATGGTAAAGATGGTTTGAGAATTCACAGGAAATCTTGTGAACGAGGGAGACAACATATATATATATAATATATATACACGATGAACGACCTGATTAGATGACTTCGAGAAATTTCGCATTTTTCTCAGCAACCAAACAAACAGGTAGAAGCAGTACCACGGCGATTCCATTTCGCGAACAATTAGCCTAAGAACGAAAATTCCGGCGATCCCATGATGCAACAAGTTCTCGAGTCTCTCCAATACCTAAATGCATTCTCTGACTTTGACAACAAAACTTAATTCAAAGCATTTAGATTCAACAAACTTGGTCCAAGGATACCAAACCAGAAATACTCACAAGTCACAACACACCCCATATAATTGTGCTCAAGTGTTTCCTATTGTCATCTGCATATTATGGAATAAATTAGTAGCAGGATCAAGGAGCCTCGGCCAAGGCTTTGCCTGTTGCGCCGCCCTTCCATTGGGCACGCTTCTTCTTATAGTCTTTCACCGCTACCTTGATGGCATCCTCTGCGAGCATGCTGCAATGCAGCTTAACAGGTGGAAGCGAAAGATACTTCGCGATCTCCCTGGAAAAAACATCCACAAAAGTAAATCCCTTTCTTTCTTTGTTTTAGGACTGCAGCCAATTCGGTGCACTATTCATGACTCATCCACAAAAGTTATTGAATTTGCATATGCATCCTCTAACCAACAATATGATTGGATCGAATCAACAGAAAAGATGAAGACTTTTGAAACTTCAGTTGGCAAATTGGATCTATGACGCCCATAAGGACAATATTATGTGAACATAGCATAACACAGACCAATCACATAACACAAATTATCCACGCAACAATGTTTGACAGTTCTTAACTTCTTAATGGCGGAAAAACATGAATAGCAACATGGGACGTCCACACTAGAAAAAACTACGGAATCTGGATATGCCAAATCATAGCATGTAATATAATCAAACTATCATAGGCATGGGAACAGCACTTACGTGTTCTTGATGGTCAAGGCTTCCTCCACTGTTTTGCCTTTCACCCATTCAGTGGCTGAAAACACATATCAATAAACGTTATAGAACCGCCACATATCCACTAGATTCAGAAGAAATCCAAGAAATCCACAACGATAAAACTAACTCTCTCCCCATCCCTCTGCAATTTCTGGCCACTTAAACACTGCCGGGAGTCAGTATCTTACACTCTGATTCTGCTGTCAATTCATATGATATTGCTAAGAAGAAACATCTGGTAAGAAACCGAATCATTTGAACAGAACACATTAGGCGGCTGTATGTTTTCTGAGCTCGTAAGAAGGATGACACATGTTAAGGTTTAGTACAATGGATACATACTGAGTTAATCTTTGTCCCACAAGCAGGCGCAAAATAAGAAAGCTGAGATAGGCAATGACCACTCGCAGGCACCCAAACAAACAAAGGCAGAAACTTCGATAGTAAAAATGAAGTGAAACACAAACGCTGAAATCCAATCTATATGTGATAATGTATTCAGGAGCAGTAACGGCGAACAAATCGAGGCGGACAAGAAGACTGGAAGCAAGACGAAGGAAACTAGCAAAAGCAGAAAAAATGGAGAAAACCCTCGATTCAATTTTCCCATCCAATCTCTTCCCAAATTCCTCCACTTGGGAACAATTAATCAGAAAAGGAGAACGAACCCTTGATTATCTCTCAAAATCACATCCCGAATGCCATTTCCTTCTCAAAAATTCCATCGCCAACAAAACAGGACAGAAACACGAAACAGATTGGTGCGAGAAAAACCGTACTGAGAGAAGAAGCAGCCATGGCGGAGCCACAGCCGAAGGTCAAGGAGCGGACATCAACGATTTGGTCACTCTCTTCGTCGACCTTAATCTGAAGCCACAAGACATCGCCGCACGATGGAGCTCCAACGAGGCCAGAACCGACAGAGGGATCGCTCTTGTCTAAGGTACCGGGGTTGCGGGGGTTCTCGAAGTGGTCGATAACCCTCTCGTGGTAGAATCGAGGAGCGATACCAATGGGCCGAGGCGGAGGTTGGCGTGACGTCAGCCCTAGAAGAGCCTTCTTCGCTACTTGCCTGAGCATCATCGTCTCTCTTTTAGGTCGGAGGGTTTTTCTTCTTGGTGAGGAACATCGATACATAAAGGCGAGCGAAGTTCCAAAATATGTAAAGAATGACCCTTAATGGAATTTTTCCTTTTTTGATTTGGTCGAAAATAAAATTATGATATGTAGAGGTGCCACTTAAGGGAATTTCTCCTTTTTTATAAATATGAATATTAAGGAATAATACCATAAAAATATATACAAATTTTGAGAAATAAATATATGTTGAAACATACCTAAAAAATATGAATGTAGAATATCAGAATATATTAGTGAATACATATATATATGTTTACTTATTTACAGGGATACATGCCTGATTATTACACTGTAGACAAAAGGAAGGTATCTAAATTGCTAATCACAATGGAACCAAAATGGGAACACTACATAACATGCGTTGTCATATGAGCTACACTTCCCATGCAAACGTAATTGATGCTTGCTCAACACGTCTTCATTGTCGGACGTGCATGTGCATGTGCATGTCTCTTTCCC